CTGGCTGCTGTCGGCAGACAGGCTACTGGGCTAGATGGACCTTTGGTTTGACCCAGTACGGTCATTCTTATGTTCTGTTAGTTATGGAAAAGGTGCTACAGAGGATAGGGTAGCTGGGGGATGGGGTGGGAGAGATGATGTGTAAGGATGAAATCCCATCTGCAGTATCTCCAGACTTTGTGAAACAGTGAGCAGCAGGTAACTAAAGGAAAAATCTATTCTGGATAATTAAAATTGATCATAAGGACAATTGCATTACATTTTGTATGGAAAATGTGCTCCAATGTGGCTTTCTACCCTGGCCTATTTATATTGCTTTTTTCTTTAGTAAACAAAAGTTCTATCTTACATGTTACCAGAGGGAAGTTACCCACAGAACAGATATTACATTGGCTGTAATAGTGTATGTTTATCCTTAAATGTGGCACAATAGGGAGCAATTTTCTCTTCCCCAGAAATGGCAATGCCTGTTTGAGAGGGGAGGTTCCAAATGCATTTGCTCCTTTGCCTCTCTGAGACTACCAGGAGGGGATGTCCTGCTGCTGATTTTTTTCACAATGATATTCCATTAGGAACAGATCTGAAAAACACCCACTTGTTTTGCACAAACTATAGAAAAGCCAAAGTCACTATTGTCACTGGTTTGAATCCAGCCCAGGTCCTGGAAGCGAAAAAGCTGTTTCATTACTAATACCCCTGACCTGCTTAGTCTTCCCTATCCTGTAGTAGGAAAATAAATCTCTTCTTTTAGAGGTGAGCAGGGGAGAAATCAGGAAACCTGAGAATATCTAAGTTTCTGATTTTTCTGTGTCAACAAGATGCCAATACTGAACCTTAAGGTAACAAAATAACTCAATTAGTGTTTTTTCAGTGGAGGATGTCATATGGAGTGCAGGGAAAGAAACCCAGTGAGTGAAGAGGGATTCCTAGTAAAGAAAATGGTAGAAACTAGTTGTCATATTAACCCAAGCCTTGTAACAGCAAATCAGTGTTCCTTATTGTTCTGCTGGTCAGTTGTCTTCCTTAAAGTACTTGGTCCCAAGCTACTTCCTGGAGCTCCTTATTTTTTTTCCCTATGACCTCTCTGTCCCATTTCAGTTTTAATCTGCTCTGGGTCATAGTTTTGAGGTGCTGTAGCTATAACCTGAGATGAGGCGTAGGGGGAAGCTTTGTGTGCTGCAAACCCCTCCTTCATCCAAACTCCCTCTCAGACCCCCCCACCCTTTCTTGTATCCCATCCCCTATCCCAAGCTCCCATCTGCACTCAACCTCCATCCCAGAATCTGCACCCCCTTCTTAGAAAAGTGCAGCTCTTGACCACTTACTACAATCTTAAAGTGGCTCCCCATCAAAAATTATTGCCCACTCCTGCACTAGCCACATGTGGCTATTTGGCCTATAGCTTTAGCCACTACAGTAGTGGCTACTGCTTCAGAGCTGGTTGGACGCCACAGTGCCAGAGAAACATACACTGACTGTTGCATTCTGTTGGGGGTAATAAATGTGTATGCCCTTTCGTGGGACATGGAATTATAGTTTGGCCAAGAAGAATTAAAAATTAACATGCCTAAACTTTGTGGATCTCCTGGGAAGTATATCTAACAACCTCTAATCTAATCTTTATTTTGGGATCTGTTTCTAAATTAATCGGGGATTATTATCTTTCTATCGTAAGAGTAAGATAAGCCCGGCCGGCAGAGTGGCACTCTAGTTTATTGATAATGAGCATGTGCTTATAGTCCACAAAACACTTTAAACACTAACTAACCGGCGCAGCCACTCCTGTGGGTTAGGTAAGCATCACAAATATGACGGAAGTGGAGCAGAGACTGTGATTCGAGGATGATGTCATCAAACTGGGGAAAGGGGTGAGGACAGGATCAGAATTCAGAACTATCTTCATAAATTGGAGAAATCAACAAGAGAAAATGCAATAAAGATAAATGCAGAGTACTATCTTTTGGAAGAAAAAAGTCAAATCCCTAATTACAAAATAGGGAATAACCAGCTTGGCAGTAGTAGTGCTCTAGGGATGTGATAGTGTACATGGTTAAGCGATGAACCTGGGGTCATCTGTTAACCTTCACAGTTACACACAAGGCCCTCCCCACTGCTTCCTCTGTATCAGAGGTAGCATGGGGGGTGGGGGAAGCAGGTAGGAGCCAAGCATGCCAGCTCCCACCCACCTCCCACTGCCTCTTAAAAGCCAACTCCCTGCGAGCATCTACTCCTGCCCCACCCCCTGTGCTGCTGCCTCTGATAGAGAAGCAGCAGCATAAGAGTGTGAGGGGGGCTGGTGGCCTCACTGGGAGCTGACTTAAAAGCTGACTCCCTGTGCACTAGCTCCCAGGGAACTGCTCCCCCATGCTTGTAAATGTGTAACCACTGTATTTTTCAGTGGTTACATGTTTACATAAATACATGCATTTTAACATCCCTGGTAGTGCTATAAAAGGATCTGGGGGCTACAGTGGATCACAAATCAAATGACTGAACAATGATGCAGTTGTACAAAAGGCCAGTATGTCTGGGGTGCATCATAAGGAGTGTTGTGTGTGTGACACTTGTGAGGGTATGGAAAATTGTCCTGCTGTATTGGCACTGATGAAGGCTTAGCTGGAATATTGTGTTCAAGTCTGAGCACTGACCCTTTTTAAGAAAGATGTGGACAAACTGGAGAGAGTCCAGAAGAGCAACAAAAATGAGTAATGGTTTGGAAAACCTGACCTATAAAGAAAGGCTTGTTTAGTCTTGAGACAAGATGACTTGTGAGGACTGGAGAAGAGAATAGGACCTGTGGAGCCTTCAAATATGTTAAGGGCTCTGACAAAGAGGATGATGGTCAATTGTTCTCCATGTCTGCTGAAGGTAAGGCAAGAAGTAATTGGCTTAATCTGTAGCAAGGGAGATTAAGGTCAGATATGTGGAGAAAATCTTTAAACTAGTTAAACAGTGGAGTAGCCTTCCAAGGGAGGTTGTGGGGATCCCCTGAGTTTAAGAACAGTTTAGAGTTTAGACCAGTGTTTCCCAACCTATGGGTCGGGACCCAAATATGGGTCGCTGTTACATTTCAAAAGGTTCGCCAAGTGTCTTCCCGAGTGGCTCTGCCCTCCTTCTTCCCCCTGTTTTTGAATTGCCTTGGGTCACCAAGTCTTCCTGAATTGTCAAAATGGGTCCCCATCTGGAAAAGGTTGGGAACTGCTGGTTTAGACAAACACCTCTCAGATCATTGGCACTGCTTCAGTACTGGCATCTGGACTAGATGACTTCTCCACATCTCTTGTAGTCCTACACTTTTATGGCTTTCCTAGGACTACAGACCATGCCTGGTGTAGGATTAGAAATCAGGAGTTTCTGGTTCCCAGTCCCCTTATTAATCTATGAAGTGACAATTGCCTGCAGTTCAATTGGACAGATGTTTAGTTTAAAATAAGTTCTCTTGAAGGAAGAGTTAAGATCTTGCGGGCTGGGTTCTGAACGCCTAAAGAGCAACAAAAGGTTAGATGAAGAAAGCAGTGTTCATACTTCCTCTTCAAGCCATCACTGCCTCCAAGAGACAGACTTACAAAATTCTCCCAGACCAGTGTTTAATAATCTTACAAAATTCAGGATCAAAAGTAAAATATTTCCTTTCCAGCTTGACCATTTTGTCCCAAGCCATTCCTCTCTTACTCTTGTGTCAGCCAAATGTTAAAAAATGTACCTATGCGTTTTCCAGGGTCGGGGCATTGGCAACAATTGGTATTTAATAGAACTGCAAAAGGTTCAGTTGTAGACTTGTGCAGTGAAGATGGTTGACTTTAAGCTGGGGCTGTCCTTAGGAAAGACAAGTGTCTTGTAAGATTTAACTTGCTCTTTTCCCTTTTCTTGTCATTCAGTATTGATACGCGGGATTGGCAGACCTGAAGACAGAAATTCCTCATATAGCTGCAGAACAGGTACAGTATGGAAAGCAGTGGGGCTTTTATGTGCCTTTTTGCACTAACATTCCTAAACTATGCCCTGAAATGACCATCAGTACAAGCAAAAAGGGGTAGCTGAGCCCCATTGACTGCTCGGAGAATCCTAATAAAAGGTTTCATTGGTGGTTATGTAGACATTTCTACCGAGAACTAAACTGTGATCTCCCAAACTCATTCCAAATGAGCTGCCAAACAGTTGGCTGGTCCTTGGAAAAATAGCAAACAACTGACTTGTCTCTGTGCTTCTCTGGCAAACTGGTAGGTCGGGGTGTTCAAAATTGCAGGAAAGGGCAAAGATTTACTCCTAGTAGAACTTTGAGAGACTGCACATGCCTCTTTTGGGCCACTGTTAACAAGTGGCAGAATTTGGGAGTTGCCCTATTCTTGGCAAAATGCAATTAGTGTTGGTCTGAGAAGGAGGGAAATCTGCATTTTTTTAAAATGAATATTCGTGTACCTCAACTCTCCTGCTTCACGTTCTGACCACCTAGAGCTCAATTAAAAGGGGTTACTAGAACAAGCAGAAAGCAGTACAGTGGCTGGAGATAAAATACAAATTCCCAGTGCCAGAAGACAGCTGTGAGCGTCTGATCCAGTGGGCTTCAAACGTTTTGAGCTGAGACACTCTCTCCCCTTTGAGTTAGAATGTTTGGTTGTGCCCCCCCATGCTTGCCTCTTATCAGGGACAACCCCTCTGCTCCTGCTCTCCTCCCCCACCTTCCCAAATCCAACCCCTGCTCTACCTCTACCCCATTGAATCCTTTCCTCCAAACCCTTTCCCAGAGCAACACCACATGTGCACCCTCACCAGGGCAGCAGAAAATGGATCAAACTGCCCACTCTGCTACCTTAAGTCCGGCTCCAGGCTGCATCGCTTGGGGCAAAGGCGGGGAGCACAGTGAGCTGGAGCCTCATTGTCCTGCCTCTTGTTGCCAGGAGACAGTGGGGTAGAGCGGGCTGGGGCTGGGTCTTTCTCTGGTTCTTGCAGCTCCTGCTCCTGCTGGTGAGTGTGGGGGCAGGCCCAACCCCTGCTGCCTGCACTAGGCCCTTGGTTCCCTGGTAATCTCCCATGATGCCCTGGGCTCCGAGGTGGCTTAGGACAGTTGAGGCCAGCCATCCCATGGATAGGATGGCATTGGAGATGCTGCTCCCTCTGCAAGCTCCACCAAACATTCCTCCGTAGCAAATTATGCTCCGCAGTCTGAAAACTGCTGATCTAATGTGACCTCCTGGGTTGCCAGGTGTCTGGTTTTGAACCGGACAGTCCAGTATTTGAGCTTCCTGGAAGGGAAACAAATTGAGAAAATAGAAATGTCCGTTATTTTCTAAATAAGATGTCATGTACATTGTGATGTCATGTCAAGTGTGTCCCGTATTTTTATTGAAACTATCTGGCAACCCTAGGACCTCCTGTGTAAGATTGACCTGGTGTGTCTCGGGCAGCGCTCCGTAAAAATGCCAAGGTCAGCGCAGGCTACAAAGGGAGAGCAGATGTCAGCCACCAGTTTGGGGAGTTAACTGAAGTTAAACTCATCGATTAATTCCAAACTGTGCTCCTGATTTCTCCCCACTCTCACCTCCCACATGCACACTGGTCATCAAGGAGCTAACACAGCCCCCCTTTTTTTCCATTTCAGTTGTCTGGCTCCTAGTCAACACATAGATCCAATACAGTGAGGAGTTAGTTAGAACTCTGCTCCCTTGTATAAAATGTTTGGCTGACCCTTTGGTCAGCCATGTTACCAGGTCAATATTAGTTTGGATCTTACCCAAAATACCAAGCTGACAGTTCTCTAATTGATGCCTGTTTCCAGCCAGATCAGACGGACATGAAATGGTTAAAAATCCATGTCTGGGAAGGAGGAGGGAACTGTGGAGAGTGGCCATTAGCTGCTTCGGGGGAAACAGGGTTCAATATCTTAACTCAGATAATGGCGCAGAGTAGCTGCTTAGGGGGAAACAGGGTTCAATATCTTAACTTAGATAATGGCGCAGAGAGCAAACTGATAGTTTGTGGATGATACTAAGATGGGGAGGGTTGCAAGTGCTCTTGAGGATAAGTTTTTACAATTAAAAATGATCTGAAGTAAACAGGATGAAATTCAATAAAGACAAATGCAAAGTATTCCCCTTAGGAAGGAACAATCAGTTATGCATGCACGCGCACTAGGAAATGACTGTCTAGGAAGGAATACTGCAGGAAGGGATTTGGGGGAATATAGCAGATTGCAAGCTAACTTAACTGATTTAACAATATTGCAAAACAGTGTAACAATATTTAACAGTGTAACAATATTGCAAAACAAGTGAACATGGTTCTGGGCTGGATTAGCAGGGGTGTCGTAAGCAAGATACGAGAGGTAATTCTTCTTTGTAGTGTGTGTTGATAAGGTGCCAGCAGGAGTACTGGGTCCAGTTTTGGACACTACATTTCAGGAAAGATGTGGACAAATTGGAGACAGTCCCTCGGAGAGCAAAAATATTAAATGTCTAAAAAAATGACCTTAAGGAAAGATTGGGAAAAAATTGGTTTGTTTTTGTCTGGAGAAGAGAAGACTGGCGGTGGGGACAGCTTTCAAAAAAGGTTGTTACAAGGAGCAGAGACACAAATTGTTCTTGCAAACCTCTGAGAATAGATGAGAAGCAATGGACTTAAACTGTAACACAGGCAGTTCAATTGGACATTGGGGAAAACTTCCTGTCAATGGTTAAGCACAGGCCATCATTTGAGATTAAGAGCAGGTTAGATAAACACCTCTCAGGGATGGCCCATAATACTTAGTCCTGCCTTGACTGTAGGGAATTGAACTAGAAGACCTCTTGAGATCCCTTCCAGTCAAACACCTCTGTGATTCTATGAAAGACTTGCAAGAAGAGAGACTGAGAGGCAGAGAACGCAATAGGCTGGTCCGTCTGAAACAGATGCCTTGTGGCATTTCTGAGGCACCAAGGATTGCCTATGTTTTTGGAAGTGATAAGGTTTAGGCAAGACACAGTTGTGCAGATCTCTTGGGATAATAACCCTTTTATCTGTGTGCTATGTATCTTGGGGTGAATATCTGTTGAGGAGTGCTGCTTCTGAAGCATTTTTATCAACCGGTCGCAGGTTCCTGAAGGGCAGCATCTTGTAGATGCTAAATCCAGATGGATCTGTCATGTTACTGCTGTGGCAAATAAGGTGTGATGTCCTGAGCAGAGTTGTAGAACTGTGGGCTCTCATCAGAGAGGTGGGGGAAAGGTAATTAGTGTTGTCTGTCATGGGAGGGTGCATTCTTAAGGGACTGCAAAGGTATGTAGAATACTGACCATACACTGAGAATAGGGGATTCTATAGCCTGGAAATGCAACATTCTAGATGGGCGAACCATGGGTATTTGCTCTGGGAGAAGTGTTGGTAGAGGCCGATTGCTTGGGAAAAGTGCCTGGGAGAGCAGGTAAAGGCCGACTGCTCAGTAGTAAGCTTACAAAACTTGAAGTTCTCCTTCGAGTGGTCCCCGTGGGTGCTCCACTCTGGGTGCTGGTGCGTCCTCGCGCTGGCGACCGGAGACTTTTTCTAGCTGTTTCTGCCATGGCGCCCTCTAGTGTCATTGGGACTGAAGGGCGCCTGCGCGCGCGGCTCCTCAGTTCCTTCTCTACCGTCCTCGGCAGCAGACGGAGCCCTCTCTTTACCCTATTTCTGTGACGGAGCCCTGTCTTTGCCATTTCTGTGGGAAGAAAACAGTTAAATTCGTCGTTTTACCCCCTAGTTACCTCATCATCCAAGTTTTCAACCCCCCCCCCCCAACTAGTTTAAAAAAAAATTCTTTTTTTTCTTGTTGCGGTTCGCCGCTTGTTCCCCAACCCTTCATGCCCGGCTCCCCGGGCTTCAAATGCTGCGAGACATGTCGGGATGCCATGCCGGCGTCCGACGGACATTCCGCCTGTATTAAGTGTCTTGGGGAGGCACACCAGACGCAAAAGTGTCAGCATTGCTCTAAATTGACAGCAAGGGCACGCCGTGACAGAGCCAATAGACTGACGACTCTCTTGTATGAGAAGTCGCTCCATCCCTCCTCAGAGGACTCGCCTCCGCCTCAGCCGACTAAGGGTATGGAAAAGGACCAAACCCCTACGCACTCTTCCTCTGCGGTGTCAAAAACCGTACTCCCTCCGGCTCCAGCTATATCCTTGACACCCTGAGCATTGCGGGTGAGCACTGAGAACATGCCGGGAACCTCTGGTGCACCGCGGTCTAAGACGCAGGCACCGCACAAGAGAGCTCATTCTGAGCCAAAACAAAAATCAGCGGCACCGACCGCTACGGCACCTAAGCTGTCCTTGGCACCGACGGCCGCCTACAGAGCGCTCGGCATCGAAGCACCCGCCTAGAGAGCACTCGGCACCGAAGCACCACCAAACGGCACCGGGCTCGGCACCGAAAAAGGCCCGCACCGATAATCCACCTCCTAGCACTTCGGTGCCGGGATGCACGTCGGCACCTTCATCTCCACCGAGTCCACTCCACTCGGCACCGTCCCAAAACCGAAGCCGGTACCGATCCCCGGTGCAGAGCCACACCTCTTCGGCACCGCCGTCCCCGGGTTCCTCTATCCACTCAGCGAGATCGCACCATTCCTCGGCCGCTTCTCGCTCAGCTAGTGACATCGGCACCGAACCCAGAAGCAGGTTTTCGTCGCAACATTCTAGCCCGGTTCACAGACCTCCATCCTGGCAAATGCCTGCGGTTCAATATGCATACCCTCCCCCTCCGCATCCATGGTATCCACACCAGTATGCCTATCCACCCCTGCCATATGCCACCCAATGGCAACCGTGGAACTCACATCCAAAGAGGTCTCACCATTGACCCTCTTCTACCACTTCCAGGCCACTTCCAGCCTCTCCTCCTGCCACCACATCGCCCACAGAGCCAAATTATCCAGCTCCTTCAGGCGGCCATGACTCCCTCTCTGTGGGCGAGACCAGATCTCTGCTAC